CTTTTTTGAACAGGGTTAGAAACTGACAATGGTGTCAAATGTACACACATTTGTTACTTAAGTAGAAGTATAGATACTGCAGTTTAAAAACACTCTGGTAAAAGTTAAAGTATCAACTTGACCTCTTTACTCAAGTAAAAGTGAAAAAATATGTCCTCTAAAAATACTTAAAGTATAAAGTAACCTTTAAAAAAAAACAGCAGATACCACTATATGGATAGAAAGCTCAATTTTCCAACTATTTTTTTGAGATAGGGCCAATAATGAGGGAGGTCTTGCTGGTTTCCATCTCCATCTCCCGATACGCTCTCACCTGTGTCTGACCTTTCAGACATTTCAACATCTTTTTCTGAATCCTACATTGTAGCATGGCATAGACAATTCACGTTTGCAGTTTGAAGAACACCTGCTTGCTTCTGAGGATTTCCTTTAGCTAACCAATGAGTGTTTGCGTTATATGACTCATCCAATTACACTAGTTTTCACTAGATGTGGATGGCACCAATGATCTGCATTGGATGGCGCACATGACATGAAATAAATATTTATAAACATTAAACTGAAGCCAAGAGTAATGAGTAACATTTGTTTTTAAAAATGTAAGGAATAGAAAATATATTATAGTAAAGTATAGTAAAGATACTTTTGTGAAAATGTAATGAGTAAAAGTCCAAAGTGGGAAGAAAAAAAATTAATGGAGTAAAGTATAGATACCTAAAATGTGTACTTAAGTACAGTAACAAAATATTTGTACTTTGTTACTTGACACCTCTGGAAACTGAAAACTCCCTTTTTTATGATTACTTTTATACATTATTACAAAGATCAGAATAAACCCATCCCCATATATATTTATAGTGAAAACATTGTTGTCAGCAACGCACCAATAAAATAATTTATGTTAATCTGGTGGTTGAAACGCACCAAAACTGAAAACTTGCACCTTTTAAAGTTTGAAAAGTATTTAAAAAAAAAAAACAGGCTGTCCTTTGATACTTAATTTTAAATGTTTAACAAAAATTATTTCAAGACGTTTCCAAGTGTAAATGGGAAATCTTTGTAACTCTTATTTTTTGACGAACTTAAAATTGTAACCTCTAACAAGAAACCTGAAGTAAGATTTTATGAAGAGGCTAATGAAAAAAAAAAAGCCAAACCTGCAAAAAAAAAGGCAAATAAAAACTGGTTGGTGCATCTGTGACAGCTGTTCTATCAATCTTAAGTCCAGATATTCAAATAAGGCATTCCACTGTGCTTAACAGCTACTGTCACTCCCAGGTTGTTAAGCTTGTTTAACTACCTGAAATTAATTTAAAAGCTGGTAGGGTGAACTGATGAATGCCTCCCTAGTTAGGCACATTTCTAACAATGAACATATGATAATTGCAAATAAAGGATCAGATGTATATAATTTGCATTCTTTGCGGTACAAATGTAAAAAGTGAACAAAGGAGAAGGCATTCATCATTAATAGTATGTGAGATCATACAGTATCAGGTCACCAAACCTTGGCATAATATTTGCAAGGGCACTTTTAGTCAATTTACACAATAATATGAAGTACAACAAGCAAAAGCTCACTAAATCATCGACATATGGATTTATGAGTATATCAAGGTTCTGTTCATGGTTCATATAACTACAAAAGGTTCAGATATGTGTCTAAATAACCCTTTTGTAAATTTTACTCTAATCTTTTCACTTTATATTTAATAACGTTGATTATTGAAAAACAATTTTGGATTTTCTTTCACTTAAGTGACCCGACCTTTGACCTCCACCAGCCACATCATCAAACACTAATAATAGTTTAAAGAAAATCTTTGCTCAGTCAAATAGGAAAGAAAACGTCTAAAAACCAAAAGATAAAGGGGAAAAAACAGTGGCTTTGACTGAATAAAAGCAGACAGGTCTAATCATGTCAACAAGGTGAAAGTTGAGTTTTTAATTAATTTTCCTTGTGAAGCGCTGGTTTTACAAGTTTAGCTGTCAGTTTAGCTGACAGCGTTCTTTCTCTAATGGTTGTTGAGTTAACCAGGGCAGTTAGCTGCTCCTACAGTGAGCTAAATCTAGAGGCTAACTCGGAAGCTAGCTCCTGCGGACGATAACCTACAACTACTCATATAACCCCTCACTGTCGGTTCGGTCCAGTAGTCTGACCTGGTTCGGTTCATTGTGATGCTCTAGTCCGTGGTCGTGCTCAACACCGTCAACCTCCACCTCAAACACTCCTGCCATCTTCGGAGAGCTTCTTTACCGTTCCGGGGCCATTGGCATTAGCAGAGCGGCTTAGGAGGGTCACTTCCGGTTTTAGATACTTTCAAAATAAAATTCTGAATTAAATGTAGGTCAAATTGTAAAACGGTTGGCTTTTATTGTCATATGCCAAGAACAGACGCACCAAATATATGCTGATCCCAAATTCATATTTTTAAATGAATTTGTGATTCTGATTCTGTGAATCAGATAAGTTTAGCTTTTAAATTTTACCTTTACTTTACATTTATATTCAAACATCTTTTAAATGTGAACAAAGATTTTTCACTGGAGAGGAATGGATGCAAAAGTTTTCAAAAAACATGGGATATGTAACAGGTTTTATTGCTCTTATTTGACTCTTTTTCACATGTTTTTGTGAAGAAAAACTTGATAAGGAAATGGTAGAAAGTCACTTTATTATCTTAGTTAAGACTTACTAGAACAGGTGTAACCAGTGCCACTTTAACCTGACTAGAGGTCCTGGGGCACACAATAAACCCACCATATGGTTACACATCCATTTTTATGTTCTCCTTACTAATCATTTGTAAAAGATGTTGTAATTTTGACAAACTGACTTTAATAACCAAGTAATATGTTATAATCAAATATAACGTGTGACCCATATTTAACACCAAACGTGTGCTATTACTGCGAACATTGCACTGATAAGCAATAAAGCTATAAATCAAAGACCCATTTAGAAATGGAATAGAAAACATTAAAACATCTTAAAACATTGTATTCAATATAAATAGACTTAACAGGTAAACACATGTATAAATATTTATTTTAAAGTTAGATAAGAGATTGATAACTTTCAAAAATGCAGTACCTGAAATGAAAAGTATTATTCTAATAAATAAACTGTGGACTTACTTGCTGTATTGCACTCAGTTATTGACATTTTAAAGCAATGAATAATTAACAACATAAATCAAAGACCCATTTATGGATAAAATGAAAGACTACAAAATACTGCCCTCAATTAAACTTCAATATGTCATTTACTAAACATATGTACTGTGTATTATGTACTACATGTGAACTGCCAAAACTATAAATACTTCATATAAATATTTATGCAAATGATTTGATAAACAAGGGACAGTAGAATTCCTTATGTGTTGCATTGGTTTTTCTAAAAAAAATGTAGAAAACAAAAGTTTAATTTATATCAAAGATAAAGCAGCCTCAAAAGAAGCAAACGCCCATCAAAGCTGTTCTTTTACACTCCTGCAGCACATTGATACCTGGAATAGCAGATGAAGCTCTCCAATGATTCTCTGTTGCCTTGAAACATTATTAATGGACTTTTTTCTTTTCTTTTTTTTTAACGGGCTCATCCAGACGATTTAAAATGACTGACAGATTGATCAACATATTAGGCTACATGTTAGCTACAATTTCTTGTTTTCACATCATAGTGGGCCCCTGGTAAATGTGGGCCCTTAGGTTTTCAGTCCAGTCTAGCCCCTGCGTTAAAGCGGCTCAGGATGTGACAAACAGAGACGTATATAATCCTCCCGCCACATTATGATGTTAAATAACTGCGCTCTGGATTCTGATTGGTGCGTTGGTCATGCTGCCTTCACGAGGTCTGGTAAAGAGGAACCTTTCCACTTATAAAGTGGAAATTACCAGCGCATTGTGTTCAAATGATTTTTTTTTTTTTTTTTTTTTTTT